TCTGGGCAGAGAATTCAGTATTGCAATGAGCAAAGTTCATTCTAGGTCACCTAAAAACAGTGAGTCAGTGATCAGGGGCTTGGGCTGGTTCCTTGTAAGTTGCCCTGGAGAGTTTGATCTGAAACAAAACACCTCTGATGGAGCATTAAGTCATTTATAGGGGCAGCAGCTCCTCCCTTCCCCTGAAAACAGAGGTGTTTGCCCCTAACTGTACTGCGGCTGACACTGATGCAGGTTGGAGTCGGAACTGAACTGAAGGTGCACCCACACTGGACAGAATTCTGTCACAGGGCTGCAAGAGAGTGGACAGGTGTAGGCACAGTGCAGCTGACAGCACAGAGTGGAGTTGATGTGAGAGGAAGTGGCCTTCAGAGCAGGGTACAGGCAGGGCGCAGCCAGAGGTTACGTGGCAATAAGATGCAACAGTCCTTAGGATGCCAGCCTCCGACGGCCATCTCCAAAACGTCACTGGTTTACTTGGTTACTCTTTTTCTTTATGTCAGTGCCAAGGCCGATGAGTTAGTAACTTGTAGCAGACAGTGTAGGAAACATCAGAGACACAGGCCTTGAGAGTGAGCAAACAGGACTAGGGAACTCCTTGGGGACTCATTGGGGAGATGCAGCAAGAAAGAAGGATTCACAGAAGAATTCACAAGGCTGACCCTTGATGGGTTCTCTGAGGCCAGGGGAAGCTAGGAGCTCAGCCAGAGGGGTCTCCATGCATTTCTGAAGGGAGACTTTCTTGATAGCGCAGGAGCACTAAGGTAACTTCTGACCCCAGTGCCCACATCAATGCAGGACTGACTTGAAGATGAAGCCCTCAGAATAGGGAGGACCCTACAACAGTCTGCAGAGGACTCACTGGGACCAGAAGTCCCCCCAGCCAAGCTTGAGGGGTACAGGTTGCTGAAGGACCTCAGCTCCTGAGACCAGTATTGACAGGGACAAACCTGGATGGCACTGCCAGTGGACCACTGATGAGAGCCCACCCACTCCCCCCACACCCTGCAGTGCTCTCTGCTTCCACCCTGCTCCCACTGGGCCTCCCACTCCACCTTCACTCATCACAGAGTTCTCCTGCATGACTTCCTGTGTCCAACTTTGGAATTTCTCTTACTGGAACATAAGAACAGAGGTTGGGAGCTTCAGCTCCACTATCTCCTGTGACAAAAGTTCCTGAAGGAATAAGGCCTGAAATAAGGGGAAGAGTATGAGCCCAATCATGGCTGGAAGTTCTAACTTCTCTCCTAGGAATAGAACAAGAGGATTAAAGATTCACTAAGAATAGAAGAGACCTGAAGGACACGATTAGCCACTTGCCAGGCCCCATATCTACAATCACGAAGTGAAATGACTGTAAAATGAATAGTCTTCCCAAGTTCACTGAACCATCATGTTACAGCCCCATCCCCACCCACAAATAAAGCACCAACAAATCTCAAAGAATAGCACTGCTTCAGAGTAGGACCAAGACGGAAGCAGATTTGCAGCAGGTAAAGTAAGACATTTAGAAAGCGCTATCTAATTGAAATGGCACTGCCAGTGGACCAGTTAAAAGGCAAAAAGAGGGCTGGGGTTGTAGCTCATTGGCATAGCCCTTTGCCTAGCATGTGTGAGGCACTAGGTTCGATCCTGAGAACCACATAAAAATAAACAAATAAAATAAAGGCATTTTGTCCAACTACAACTACAAATTTTTTAAAAAAAGCAAAAGAAACAAGTGAAATTAGTGTTAATACCATACTTTATTTAAACAAATAACAAATATATCTAAAATATTATCATTTCAACTCGTAATGAACATTTTTTTCTTTCTTTCTTTCTTTTTTTTTTTTTTGTAGTGTTGGAGATGAAATCCAGGGCCTCACACCTG